CACACACACACACACACACACACACACACACACACCCTCTCCAAAACATCTATTATTCAGCTCAAAGCTGGAAATTCCCAGCCATTTGGTTTGTGTGTTTTTCTGTCTGGCCTCGCCCTTCTTAGGAATGCACACTGGAGCTACTCTAAGGGCAAAAGGCCTAAGGTGGTGGGAGAGCTGAGGCTGGCTACTGCCTAGGGTCCCTGATGCCCTGGGGAGGGGGGGTGCACCTGCTGCCGTAGGCTTTGAAACTCAGGCCACATAGCAAAGTCTGAATGTGAGATGGAAGCAAAGGGCGAGGAAGAGGGGGCTGCAGCTTGATGCTGAAAAGTCCAGGCCTACATTCCCGGGGGCTGAGTGCTGGAGGTCTGAGGGGGCTCAGGAGTCTGCACATTTAAGAATCCGGGGTGCATGCTTTCAGAAACAGTGCCAAGTTGGGCATGGTGGCACGTGTCCCAGCTCTTGGAAGGGTGAGGCGGGAGGGTAGACTATCTAGGCTTCATTCGTTCGGCAGGTAGCTCTGCCCTTTACGTCTGCTGGACTCCTTGCAGTGAGGTAAGTTGGGGGGAGGTCGGAGGAGAGCATCAAAGCCAGCCTGGGCCACACAGGCCGAGCTGGTCTCACAAACCAAAACAAAAGCCCTCAAAGCCTAATGACACGTTCCCTAAGACCTGAAATCTGGAGGAAGGCTTGGTCGCGTGCAGTACCCGCGGACTGGAGCAAGTCACACTTCTCCATACCTTTCCATGGGGATGATACACAGGGCCAGGTACTCTACCACTGAGCTGGCCCTCGGCCCAAGTTCACTTATCCGTGGCAAACTTTACTTGCACGATAAAGGTCACTACCACAAGAGTTTGGCATACAGCCTGGCATGTGGAAACTGTGAAGAAATGGTCGCTATCAGCATGACTGCATGGGGGTGCAGAATATCTGCCCTTTCAAACTTGGCATTGGTGGTAGGAATTGCTTCACCTGACTAAGTCTAGCTTGCTAACTGAAAGAGAAAATGCGAGGCTGCAGCGTTGCAAGGTCCCTGGGGAGCCCTGAACCGGGATCCAAGTTTCCCCACTCCCTTCCTCTTCCTGAACTTTTCGTAGGATGTTGTGCACACCTCCAGCAATGCCAGCCAAAAGCCCTTGTGGCCATGTCTTGCAGGGTGGGAAGGGCCTGGGACACCAGGCGGCAGTGGTTCCTTCTTGGATGTGGGAATCAGGTCAGTAGGATGAACGTCTAAAGAGCTCCCATCAGAGAGGAAGAGCTGACTGCGGCTTGCATGGAGGTGAGGAGGCAGCCCCTCTCCTTCAGGAACTCTAAGTCCCTGCTCCTGATGCAAATGGGTAGGAAACATTGGGGTGAGGGAGGCCCCAGAACCGAGGGAAGTGAAATCATGGTCTGTCTTTCCTTGATGTGTTTTTGATAGAGACAGGAGACCCGAGAAACATATCCTTACCCTGGGAAAAGCAAGAGGATGAGGATGACAGATGGAGCCGATGGAGCCCAAGAGCCTGGAGCACGAGAGTGAGAGACATTGAAATGCAAAAGTTGCGCAGCCTCTAACTCCCACCCTAACCTCGGCCTGGCACCATGAGGGAACACAGGCCCAGGGGGTCAGACCTTTCGGAGTCATTGAGAGAATATAGAAAAATGAATGTATGTGGCCAACTTGCTGAATTGAAATGCTGCCTCTAATTTTATTTTTAAAGAATGACTTAGTTTTATTTTATGTGCATGTGTGGGTGTGTGCATGTGTATGTTAGGTGCCTGTGGAGGCATCAGCTCCCCTGTGAGTTGCTCGAGGTGAATGCTGGGAACCAAACCTGTGTCTTCTATAAGAAGCAAGTGCTCATAACTGATTGCTTAGCTCCTTCTCCAGCTTCATGCTGCCTCTGATTTTAAGATGTTCTTGTTAGAAAGATGTTCTGATAGTTAATAACAACAGAATATGTAATCCTAACTACTCAAGAGGTTGAGGCAAGAGGATTGTAAGACCTGCCTGGGCTACAGAATGAGTTCAAGGCCAGTGTGAGCAACTCAGACCATGCCTCAAAACAAAATGTTGGAAAAAGCTGAGGGTGCAGATCAGGAGTACCACACCTGCTTAGCATTCTTGAGGCCCTGGGTCTTGGTACTACTTCAAAAATAAAGATAAGTAAATAAATATATAAAATGAAGAGAGGAAGGACCCTGCTTTAAAAAGATATCTATCTTAGAAGTCACGAAAGACACCAATAGGCTGAACTTGACCCGTGGCACCTTTGGGCTGTTCTCAACCTGTACAACAGCTCAGACTTTGGTCATATCTATGAACTTCCTGGTTTCTTGAGAAGAGTCTCTCTCTCTCTCTCTCTCTCTCTCTCTCTCTCTCTCTCTCACACACACACACACACACACACACACACACACACCAAGAATGAGTAGAGACACTATAGAGGAAAATGTGGACACCAGACAAGTGGCCTCATTATCAGGGGTACCTAGGTGGTGGTTCGTGGGACACTGAGTAGGACCCACAGGAATCCTGAGTCTTGCCAGACCAAGAGACCAGTCACACCTACATGCATAGAGGCCCAGAGAGGTGAAGGCATTGGCTCACCATTACACAGCATGGCAGCACCAAGCTAGTCCAGGGCCTAGTTCTCCTTATTCCCATCTGCAGCGCCTTCTATAAAAATCCCTGCCCCTGGTGTGAATGAGCTAGAGACAGGGTCTCAGAACTTGCCCCCTCTCCTGCCCCTCCCCCTCCCACTGCCCCCATTCCTACCCCTCCCCAGGCCTGCCCCACAGAAAGCACCCTTATTTGATTCACAAGACTTTAAAATTTTATTAGTAAAATACAAAATGGCACAGACATTGGTAATGATGCTGGAAAAAGCCAAAGGATTAACCAACTCCTTCCAAAGTCCTCCCCAGATCGTCTTGGCTCTTATCCTGCTGGGGAGAACCCACAAAGTCCGACAAGGGGACCGCATGTCCCAGCAGCTTTCTCAATAGGGAAGGGGGCGTCCCAATCCTGGAAGGCTCCCCACTGAAGGAGCCAGGACAAAGTGCACTCAGGCTGCTGCTCCTCCAGCCCACAGTTAATACCCTGGAGCCAGACTAGAGTCTGCCACAAGCTTCCCAGGACGGAGGGTCACCAAGGGGCTGGCTTCTTTACTCTGGGACAGAGCCAACTCTTCTGAGCTTCCTGTCAGGGAAGGAGTCACTGGGTGAAGCCCACCCATGGGAGGCTGGGAAGGTAAAGGGTTGGGGCTATTAGGAGCAGGGTTGGGTGAGCTGCCACCAGGGGCCCTGAGGGGCGAGGTCTGCAAGCCCAGCTCCAGCTGGGGGCGCTGCCCAACTCTTCTCTGCCGGGCATGCTGGAGGCTTCATCAGTCACTCTGTGCCCAGGACAGAGTCTCTTCCAGGGATTTTCACAGGGCTCTTGGAGAATGTTATGGGAGTCCCGGCCCTGCCTGTGGTGGCGCAAAGGTTGGCATGAACAGTGCTTTCAGAGTTGAGAGGGGACCCAGCCTCCTAACCACCTGGGCTGTGCACGCCCATGTGCAGGTCCCTAAACTTCAATCAGGTGTGTGGCTGCTCCAGGTGCTTACCCCGGACTCCCCGCCTCCCAAGTGCGCTCGTCACCCTCTTCCTTCTGTGGCTTGTGCTTCAGGCTGGGCAGACCTGTGGCTATAATCTTGGTGAGTGGGCTAGGGGTGCCTAGTGAGGACACAGAGGGGCCTTCTGAGTTTAGCCTCTGTTTCTGCAAGTCCCTACCCAACTCAGCCCCCATGTGGGAGCCCACAGGGCAGGACGTGAATCTCAAGTGGCCAGCCCTCAGAGTCACAGGGTGCAAAGGTGTCTGTCAGTCCAGTGGGATGGCAGTGACTATCAGTGTTGCTAGGGCCGGGGTTGCATCCAGGGATGGGGACAAGGATCTCAGAGAAAGTGACGATATCAGGGCTGGGGGATATTGCCATCTCTGGGCCACGCTTCTTTTGCCGATGGGGCACCTCGTTGTGCAGGGAGCTGCGTGGGGACTAGACCCTGCCTTCAGGTGCAGCATGCCCTCACAGCACAATCTGGAGGGATGCATCAAAGCCCCACACAAGCTCAACTCCCTTCCCAGAGAGCTCCAGGAAACACAGCGTCAACCTCATGCAGGAAAGGACACAACACGGTGTGGATGGTGGTGGTGGTGGTGGTGTGCTCTGTACAGGGGACAGGGAGAGATAGCACCGTGGCTGGCCAGAGAGGGGGCCGGGCTGGCAACTGCAGCAAACCCAGGAGCCGTGAGGAGGTCAGGGGGACAGGCAGATGGGCCTGACCTGCTGCTTGTGAGATGGACGGACCACGGTGCTCACAGGAAACAGGTGTCATGGGGGCTGGGAATTCAATAAATAATTGTTCACTAGGGGTTGGGATGTCAAGGGCCCCTCCAACCAGCCGGCAGCAGAGGAGTCTCTCAAATATAGGTAGGCTGGAAGGCCACCTGCTGTGTCTGATGAGTGGGGGATGGTAAAAGGTAGCCTCCAGGGCCACATCTGGGGGCTCGGAGCACGTGGCTCCTGGAGGACCCAGCCTCCCCATTCCCATTGCCCCAGCTTGGGTGAAGGTGGGTATGAGGATGGGGGTCCCCAGACAGCTGTCTGAATCAAACTAGGGACACAGGCAGGCAGGCAGCTCACACCGGCACCAGGACGTATGAGTTACTGCCACAGCTCCGGGGGACGTATCGGAGGCTTTCCACCATCTCCCCTGCCATTTTGCGGGGACAGCCCTGGAGGCTCTGGTAGGCAAACATGGCCACCCCCAGACAAAAGAGTAGACCCAGGAAGGCCAGCAGCCCCACTGCCTGCCTACGGGTGGCTGCCTCGGTGTCAGGGACAGGAGTGATAAATACGCTCCGTTTCTGGGGAGCCGAACTGGCAGGGATGGGCTCCTTTGACTTGGGAAGCCAGCTACCCGAAGGTGTCAGCTCCTGGCTGGGGGTCCCTTCAGAGGAGGCGGGGGCCTCTGAGGGGTGGACTGTGTTGCCAGGCCTCCTGTCCTGGAAATCATCAGTATGAGCTTGGCTTGTCTCCTCAGGCCCTAAGGACTCCTCAGGCCCTAGACTGGGGCTCTGTCCCTGGACCCACGTGGGCTGGACTTCAGACCCAACATTCTCCTCCGGGGTTGCATGGAAAGTGGTGGGCGCCTGGGTGGATGGAACTGTAGTGGATGGGGCCTCAGTAGATTTCTCCTCAACCTGGAGTCTAGATTCAGGTCGGTAGATAGCAGAACTCTGCGAAATGGTGGTAGGGATGGTAGCCTTCTCAAAAATCCCAGTGCTTTGAGGCTTGGTCACAACAAGCCCTGCATCCCGAGCCTTGGAAGTTAAGGATGATGGTCCAGTCACTGCTGCTGGCGGCGGCTCGGAAGTCCCCATTGGACTCTGGGCCTCCTGGGAAATAGCAGTCGGCTCCAAAGGAAGGCCTTTCACTGTGGCTTTGGGCTCTGCCGGTAAAGACGGGGACGGTCCCCTGGTGGGCAGAGTGACCCCAGATGTCATATTAACCAACTTCTCAAACTTGCCAACGTTTTGAGTCGGGGTAGTGGCCTGGCGGTCCAGGTACGTCATGGCTTCTTGGACCCATTGCTCCTTTGTGTCAGCACAGAAGTTTCTGTGCTGTTTCGTCTCCAAGCTACAAGGAAGACAGGAGGGGGGGGGCTGGTGACACCCAGATTCTAGATGGCCAGGCTGGGGTGGTGTGGGGCACTGCCCACATACCCTGCAGGGAAGCTGTCCCGACTGACTAGCATGAGGTGTCGGACCCCTCCATCCCCTCTGTCTCCCAGCCCTGGGCTGAGACATGAATGCCTGTGGTCTGGAGGGGAACCCACCGCCTCAGAACGGGTATTCTCAGCCTGAGGGACTTCCCCTTTCAAAACCAGGAAAGCCCCCAGGCAAATGGGAACCCTACTTCTGTGTTATCGTGAAGCAAAATAAAGGGTAAGCCACTACCTAGAGAAAGCATCTGAGTCAGAGCAGGCATCGTAAAATTCAGGAATAATTACAGGGTCAATAGCCACATCATTACCATCAAGGCAAGCAGTTCTGGACTCTGATAACCCGGCCGCCATAGGTGTTCTTGGACACCAGTATGTGACAAGGGCGGGTTTCCTGGCTCTGAAAAGATCCTGTGCATAAGTTCTCTGTCTCGTGGTGATGGCTGCTCTCTGAACCCCAACTTCCTCCTCAGGGTTTTGTCCTCAGGCTGAAGCTGCTTCTCAGAGCCAAAGCCCAACAGTATCCTCACTAGGATCTCGAATGTGGTCTACATCTAGAGCCTCCCGTGAAGCTGTGCGTGGCTGCTTTGTCCCAACAGCAGCTCAGAGCTGACTCTCATTCCACGCTACAGCCTCTGCAGGTCATGCCGGGTCTGCACCGCAGTCAGCCAGCACGCTAACCCCATTTAACCAGTGGGAAGATGAGGCTGATAGAGATAAAGAAGTGTGCCCAGCTGGGGTATGCTGGAAGCCATGGCACTCCCAAGGGTGCCATGGTCCCCTCTTCCTCTCTCCTTAGAAGACGGAGGCAGGTATTTGGGGGGGAGGGGTCTCTGGAAGAGGCAATCTGTGGTGGGAAGCAGAGAGGGCAGGCAGGAATGCATTTGGAACCTCACTCCTTGAGG